ATTGAGGATAAGAAGATAAAAGAAAGACTATTACAGTGTAAGTAAAAAGATAAATGACTGTTATGTTAAACTAGCCCTATAATTTGTCAAATCATTTATTTCAGAAATATCAGTTTACCCCAAATATTTCAGGATTTTTTTCCAGGAAGAGACGTTCTCCACAAGTGGCAGATTTGCAAGGGAGAAAAGATAGGATCAGAAATGGAAACATTATTAATTACCCAATCAGCTTTCTACTCTAAATGGAAATAGCCATTCATAAATCCCCTTTATGAGTTTAAGGGTAAACACTCAAACCATTTTGTTCAGCACAGCAGGCTCCTGGCTAGAATAAATAAAAACCTGAGGCCACTGTGTTGAAGCAAAAAGAAATTATTTTAATCTGTCCATTTTATTATAGGGCCGTAAGACTGAACCCCACACTAACTTCCATCTGAAATTACGCAGGGCTAAACTCCAGAGTGGTGCATTTTATTCACTCATTCCACAAGATTTGTTGAGCACCTACTATGTTCTAGGATCTCTTTGGGTGCTTGGGATGCATCAGGAACAAATGAAAGATCTCTGCCCATAAAGCTTACACCCTATTCACAATGCCTGCTTTGCCTACAGCACAGAAAGAAAATCAACACAAACAACTCTATAGTAAGAAAAACTCTAACTTCTCTGGCCTTAACTGAGTATAAACAAGAACATCCAGTCAACACAAGGGCCCTCTGAGTCCTTTTCAATTACTTTAAATTTTAGGCAGACAACACTGAAGAAGTCTTTGAATCCAGCTCATGAATGCAAACACAGCAAACAGACCCACGTAAGCTTGTAGAGATGAGTGAGCTTCTGGCCTGCATGGACGCAACCTTGCCTGCTCTTTTTAGGTGGTTTTAAGTAAAAGGAAGGAAACAGCTATAAGCAGTAAGAGCTGGAAAGCTTAAGAGTCATACAAAGAAGCCTAATGCACTGTCAGGTGCACCAACAATATAGTGCATGGAAACTACAGTTTAGCATCTGATGAATAAACCATTTTGGGTTTCACAGCATTCCTCCATAAGGGTTCATTGAGAAACACTACATTCCATGAACAAAGAGTTCTGTGGTGTTTGTTTTCAAGGTGCCACTTAGCTTTGAAAGCATGTAGCTAATATTTTGCCTGTGGTATCCAACAGGCAGGTGTAAGAAGAGCAAACATTCCTCAGGTTTTAAAAATAGTAGTATATAATAACTTGGAAGGCAAGTCCTAACATACCAAAAGACGTAGATCAGTAGACTCTATTTAAAATAGAACATCCTCGGTGCTGAAACAGCTTCAAACATACCATTGTGCAAAATCAGATTAAATGCTTCCAGAGATCCTCGTATGATTGTTCCTTCTGCCAAGTGCCTTCCTTTGAAGAAAAAATACATAAAGACTAAAAGAAAAATAAAAGTATATTAACCCACAAAGATCATTCCTACTACCTTACACTTATAAAAAGCTTATGATTCTCAAACCCCCACACATATGATCCTCACAACAATCCTGGGAGACAGGTGAGGTACGTGGCATTATTGTTTCACAGACATGAAATTAAGGCAGTAGGGTTGTCGCAGGTCAGCAGCAGGCACAGGTCTACAGCCACCTAGTGGAAGAAGCACTGAGACAGAGCAGGGACCACACTTAGGTCCCCACACCCAGGAAATGGCTAACAGCCAACAATAACCCAGTTTTCTAGCCCTGCCAGCAGGTACTGCTTGCCATCAGAAACTAAGCTGGATGCCAAGGGGAACAAGCTCCAAACACCAACGCCCCATACACTTCTCAACTGGTCTGATCCACCTCAGACACTGTGCAAGCCCTCCACCTAAGAGGGATGCTGTGAAAACCAAACCAATCTAAGCCTAGATGGACCCCCACTGATGACCCTTTTTCAGCCAAATCCTCCTTAAAACCCTCCCAGACCGCTCCTTGGGGAGCCAGACTGCAGAATCTTTTTTCTGTCTCCCTTGTACTGAAGTATTAAGCCCTGATAAAGCCTTGCGTGGAACACCCACTCAGCATCCAATTCTAGAGCTTAGACAGCCCAAGAGCCTGACTGGGTAATAGTTCCTCTTGCTAATTTTCAATAAATATCCCCATTTCCTGTCCACTAGCCCCACTGTCTGTGAGCTTATGGAGCCCACCACCCAGATGAGGCCTCTTTCTAATTTGCATAAGGGCACAATACAGACTATATAAAACTGTGTCCCAAGGCCACCCAAAAACCACTTTTAATGGGGAAAGCACAAAGATTAGAATCCAGATCTAGTGACTTCCAGTTCATGGCTTTATGTAATGTAAGGTGAAATGCTCACAGTAAGTAGATTTACTGAAATCTCATAACTTATTGACTCACACAGCACCTCTGAGGCATTGTTTTGTGAATAAAAAGAACAGAAGCATGGTGTCACCCATAGTGTTTGCATTGTCCCACTGCTAGGCCTTTTCTGAAAATATTCTTTCCCTAGCCCTACCTTCCAAAATATCCTATTTACTATGTGCCTGTCACTTGGCCAAGTGTTCTGTAATACTAAAACGCTGTAACTAAATGCAGCTCTGTGCTGTGAATGACCTCACCTGTAAACATATGGCACACAAAAACCAGCCAGCTGAGCCCAGTAAACCCACAAAATCCTGAGACCCAAAAGTTTACCACTGGTTTAATTCACTAAGTAACAGGGGTGATTTGTTACATAGCAACAGAAAACTGAAACACTGTATTTTCTCACCTTAGCACACATCAATACTATACCCTTATATCAGGCACAGAGGGTCCCAGATGAATAAACCCTGAGAAAAGACTAGACAAAAGAACACTGGGATTGGATAAAGAGCACAGCAAAGATGATTCCGGATTTCCCCCTCAATGATCATCTGAGTGCCTATTATGTGGTAGGCCACATAGCCTGGAGATGGAGGTTGAGACTCTGGATTCAGATATGAAATCCTGGCTTCCCAACAGCTGGCTGTGGGAACTTGGAAAAGTTATTTAAACTTCTTTGAATCTCAGTTTCTCTAGGTAGTGAAATGGAAATGGGCCTTAAATCCTTCCCACAGCTGCTGGATGAAGTAAACGGGATGATGTATGAAAGCACTTCCTCCCCCTCCCTTCTTCCTTAAGAAACTCCTATATACACTTCAGCCATCATTTGACAAAGGCCGCTTTTTCGGGAAAGCCTTTCCCAATGACCACCCTGGGGAACTTTAGCAGGATTTCTCTGCTATATTTGGTCCCAGCAACGTGAACTTTCTCTGCATAAATACACATCACCAATTTTAAGTATGTGTTCATTAGCTGTTCATTTATTAATGTCAGTCTCCCCAACTGGAAACCATCAGCTCCATGAGAAGAGCGTCTATTGGGTGGGCCCCAGCACTGAGCCTGGCACACAGGAGAAAAGTATCTCTAAACACCTGCTGAATAAAAGAAAAGCATTTAGCCCAGAAGCATGACCACACGCAAAGTCCTCTCTAAAAGAGAGCTTGGCATTGTGCTATGTGCTTCTGCGGGAATGAGTCCTCCCCCAAGAAGCTTAGTCTCATAAGGAGAAAAGGTATGTGCGCAAGTAACTATCCAACACTGGAGAAGATGGTCAGTGATGCCTATATCAAGTCTCCCCCAGTTCTGTCAAGATGGAGATCAGCTCTTGATAAGGATAATCCAGAAAGGCATTCCAAGGGAGCCATGGCATTAGGGAACCCACACTCCAGACTGCCAGTCCTAATAAAAAAAGGAGTGTGCACTGTTTCTCCTTTGGGCCCAGAAGTCTGGCCTAAGGCAAAGTCTCCACCAGATCCACAATTCATGCTCTCAGTCATTTATTCATTCATCATTTACTAGTTTTTATTGAGCACTTTACTAGGTGAAAAATACGAACGATCTGACACGGGGCGGGGGGGACCTCTATGGCAACACCATGTTAACCAGTGTCCTAATCAATCCTTAGGACCTGGGTCCCCAACCGCATCACCCATAGAGGTCCCCTCTTACCATTTAAAAAACTAACTTCTCCCAGCCTCTCTGTTTTGCTTCTGCATTATATATGGGGCACACTGCCTGGTAGCTGCTGCCCAAAGCAAATTAGAATTCTTGCAAATCTTGCTTTAAAAAGTGAACGCTGAAGGGGAACCTAAAATGCCTTCTAATACAACACTCTTATCTTAGATGAAGAAAGCGAGGCCTAAAAGAGAAGATGACTCTTGACCAATGAAGTAACTAGAGTCAGAGACAGACTACAGTTCAGGAGTCTCAGCTCCCTGGCCTGGATGCTCTGGATTTCTCAAGAAATTCCCTATTCTACTGCCAGGAGCATAGTCCTAGAAGGAACCCCTGGGATAACGAGGACCACTGAGCAGTGAACCTAGGGTGCAGTATGAACAACTCAACATTTTAGAGGCCTAAACACCAGCCTGAGCACTTACATGAATTATCTCACTTGATTCCTCACAACCAGCCCTTTCCATTAGTACTTTTATTTCCCCCATTTCACAGATCAAAAACACTAAGGCACAGGGAGGATAAGCTACCAGTTTCAAAATATATTAAGGTGGTAGAGCAACAGTGCTGAGTAAACCAGGGTGATCGTTTCCACCGCTCCCACTGGCTTGTACTGGGCGGGGGGGGGGGGGGGGTCGTCCATGATGTACTAGAAAGATCAACAAGTCACGTGCAACCTCAACCAGGCTCCAGAACGTGCATTCCCTAGGACTGTGGGGCGGGATGTGAACGTGCTGCTGCGCACGGAGCCTTCCCCGCACTCCAGGGAGCGCTGGGGAGCCTTCGAGGAAATGCACTTCCACCCACGCCCCGCACATCCCGAGGCAAAACCCGCAGCTGGGGCGCGAGAGCGCGGACTCGAACTCCCGCGGGGGCAGGGGAAGGAGCAGGGGCAGACGGCGGGCGCCCCGGGACACAGACGTTTGGGCCGGGGGTCGGGGCGGCCGGGGGGGGAACGCGGGCGCGGCCCGGACCGGAGCGGGCGGGTACCTTGCGGAGAAAGCTGGCGACCACCTGCTCGAAGGGGTACTTGTACACCTGGCGCACGTCCACCGTGACCCCCATCCCCGCACGCCCGGCGCCGGGCTCTGCCGCCGCCGCGGGCGCCCACACCCGCCCCGCCAAAGGGGCGGGGAGAGGATTTTTTCCTCCCTTTTCAAACTTTCGAAACTTTATTGTCCTCCGGCAGGAACAGACGTGCAGTCGGGCCCCGCCCCCTTCCGCCACCGCGGGGTGTGGGCGGCGGGCCTCGGGAGGCGGGGACGCGGCCTCGTGGGTCTGGGCCCGGTAGGCGCCAGGAGCGGCCGCTCCGCCCGCGGCCCGGGAGCCACCGTCCCGGGCTCTGCGCCTCTGGAACCCTGCTTTTCTGTTGTCACCTCAGACGCAGCAGCCCTAAGAAAAGTGATCATAAATACGGAAACTACCCGGCCTCCAAGTCTGGGTTGTAATATAACCCTCCTCCGTGTTGCTGAGTCCCATGTGACAAAGGTCAGCAACTGCAGGACACACACGACCCAGGCAGCCGCCTCAAAAGCTTTAGGTTGGGCTCATATACCCTGGGAGTGTTCAGGAAATAAAGAACTCTCGGCTTAGCATGTCCGACCCTGTAAGGGAATTCCTATGCTCCTCAAAGTTGAAACACCATGGAGCAAGGAACAAAGGGACATGGGAAGAATGTGAGTACTTTTCACTGGACTGCACGGATTTTCCAAGATCGAGCAAGTGAATTCATTTATTCAGTAAGTTACTCGACCTATCACTTACCGAGCATCTACTCTGTGCCAGGCGCTGTGGTAGGAACTGCACATTCCGTAGTGAATAAATTATGGCCCCCGCTGGCAAAGAGGATGGGTGAGCCAGGCGATCTGACATCCAATAAACAAAACAGGAAAACAAACACGATAATGGATTATGGTTACGCGGATGGGGCGTGATTTTAGCTAGAATGAATAAGGTAGTTCTCTGAGGTGGTGACCTTCACGTTTATCTCGCCTGCTACCAACCCACATAGTCATAGCAGCACTGCAAAACCACACACTTGGGTAAACCCAGCTTCCCATTACTCAGGGCTTCATTCCTGCCACGGCAAGAGGCTGGAGACAAATACACACCCACCATAACAGTCCTGCTTTCAAATTCATAACCACTAATCTCAAGGGGCCTTTTAATGGTGCTGGACAAAAAAAAAAAAAAACAAACAAACAAACAAAAAAAACCTACATTTCTCTCATCCACTAACTGTCCCACAGTCTTCTCACCTCAAATACCCCACACTTCCTTCCCAGCCATATCCTCAGATGACTACCTTGCTTCCTCTTTTACTTAGTAAATAGGAAAACACTCTTGGCCACATCTGTCTACTCACCTGTCCAAATGCCCTGCCCTCTCTTCTATTCCTGTGAGTGAACTGTCCGTGCTCAGTTTCAGGCCAGTCTCTCCACTGGTCCACTGAGCCCTCTAGTGGACTCACAAATGGTTAACAGACAGCTCTCCTTCTGAAAAACCACCAAAACAAGGCCTGGATGCCTAACGATGGCAGTTACTGTAAACACTCCCACCACCGCCAATTTCAAAATACCAAAGTGATGTCAGTAAGCATGGAGGTGGGAAAGACACATGCAAAAATGCACTCATGTGTGGTATTTCTACCATCCACATGCAGCACACATGACGGCAAGAACATAGGTAATGGAGCCAGTGCAATCTTGAAAGGGAACAAAGCTGGAAGTATCACAAATTCTAGATTTCAAGATACACTACAAAGCTATCGTAATCAAAACAATACGGTACATACACTGTTGGTGGGAATGTGACTTGGAGCTGCCACTGTGAAAAACGGTATGGAGGGTCCTCAAAAAGTTCAAAATAGAACTACCTACCATATGATTCAATAATTCCACTATTAAGCATTTACCCAAAGAAATTGAAAACACTAAATCTAAAAGATATATGCATCTCTATGTTTATTGTAGCATTATTTATGATAACCAATATATGAAAGCAACCTAAGTGTTCATCAATAGACAAATGGATAAGGAAGATACTGTGTATATCCACACATATATATGTATGTATACATATATGTATATAACAAAGGATAGTTGGAAGAAAGGCAAGCAGGGAGAAGGGCACTCCCACCCCTGTACTAAGAGGAAACTAGCCTTAGAAGGAAAAAAGCTCCAGCCTGTTATTCTAGGCTCTACTCAATGCCCCAGCTTTAAGTAGGAGAACTTACAACTTGTCTGTAACAGAAAGAAAAAGAATGGCCTTGGGTATCCTAACCCAGACCCACGGAGCCAGCTCAAAAGCCAGTAGGATTTTTTTTTTTTTTTTTAAGATTTTACTTATTTGGGGCGCCTGGGTGGCTCAGTGGATTAAGCCTCTGCCTTTGGCTCAGGTCATGATCTCAGGGGCCTGAGATAGAGCCCTGCGGCGGGCTCTCTGCTCAGCGGGGAGCCTGCTTCCCCCCCCTCTCTCTCTGCCTGCTTCTCTGCCTACTTGTGATCTCTCTCTCTCTCTCTGTCAAATAAATAAATAAAATCTTTGGGGGAAAAAAAAAAGATTTTACTTATTTATTTGAGGTGAGCGAAGACGAGAGCCTGATGTGGGGCTAGATCCAGGACTCCAGGATCATGACCTGAGCCAAAGCAGACACTCTTAACCAAATGAGCCACCCAGTCAACCCAGCCAATAGGGAATTTAAACAAAGAGCTTGATGTGGCGGCCTGCAACTAGCTGGCATGGTTTAAGGCAGTGAGGGCCACCACCCTATTGGTCCCAACCGCTACAAAATACCACCCTAAAAGAAGCCCTTCACCCTTTCCCATGGGAACAACTATCTAATAGATGAGCCTGTGGACAAAAATCTGATTGGATGACAGGCACGTGGAGGGTTAATCAGATTAAAACATTCAAAACCCAAGAGCCCATAAAACCCCTAGATTTAAATGTCAAACCAGCAACCCTCTTGGGTCCCCTCCCTCTTTGGGAGCTTTGTACTATCGCTCAATAAACTTTGCTTTGCTGCCCACCACTCTTTGGTTTACCTCTTCATTCTTCAAAGTGGCAAGACCAAGAACCACAGGCACTAAAGGAAAAGAAATCCTGCAACATATATATAATGGAATATTCCACAATCATAAAAAAGATGAGATTGGGGCATTTGAAACAACATGGATGGAAGTAGAGAGTATTATGCTAAGTTAAATAGGTCAAAAAAGACAGATACCATATGATTTTACTCATATGTGGAATCTGAAGAAAAAAAAAAAGCACACAATGAGTAAACAAAGAGCAGAAGCAGACCTATAAATACAGAAAAACAATTGATGGTTGCCCTAGCAAACATGGGTGGTTGGATGAGCAAAATGGGTGAGAGGGAATGGGAGGTAATAGGCTTCCAGTGAATAAGTCACGGTAATGAACCGGGAGAGCTAGGTTCTTATCTCACAGAGTCAAAGAATGAATCTCACAGAGAACAGAGAGTAGAGCGATAGAAATTTAAGTGAAGACACAGAACGAGCTCTCAAGACTGAGAGAGTTGCCACTGAGCGCCTTTAGGGATGGTCTTCTATGGAAAACTAACCAGGGGACTTAAATCCTTCTAACATTTCTATTGATAACATCACTGAGCTAGGACTAGTGATAACATCTTCAGTGGCTTATTTCTTTTTTAGGGTCTGGTTATTCTTCATTGCTCACAGGTGATTATCATAAAAAGACACCCACCCCACCCGCCTAGGGCAGGATGGTCAGATGTGTCCCCTTATCTCTGGTTCTCCCCCCGCCCCCACATTTTGGGGATTTCTGGTAGCCTGATCACAGAGCCCCTTATCTGTCTCTCCCTACCTAGCCCCACCTGTCCCTTACGCAGTAATAAAAGGTACAGCCCAGAGAATACCGTCAACAATACTGGAACTGCCATGTATGGTGGCAGAAGATAGCTACACTTGCGAGGAGCAGAGCATAACACATGGAGAAGTTGAAACACAATGTTGTAGACAAGAAACTAATGTAACACTGTATATCAACTATACCCAATTTTTTAAAAAGTCTTTCTTTAAAAGAACACAGGGGTGCCTGGGTGGTGCAGTTGGTTAAGCAACGATCTCATGGGTCATGAGGGCTTCACAGTCATCTGGGAGTCAGCTTGGAGATTCTTTCCCTCTGCCCCTCTTCCTTCTTGTTCTTGTTCTCTCTCTCTCTCTCTCTCTCTAAAATAAAGAAATAAATCTCAAAAAAAAAAAAAAAGGAAAACAGTTAATGGTAAATGTAGTAATACAATTAAGAAGGGATAAGTTTTGAATACCTATTACCTTTTTTTTTTAGATTTTATTTATTTATTTAACAGAGAGAGTACAAACAGAGGGAGCAGCAGGGAGAGGGAGAAGCAGACTCCCCACTGAGCAGGGAGTCTTACCTGCGGCTGGATCCCAGGGTTCTGGGATCGTGACCTGAGCCGAAAGTAGACGCTTAACTAAGCCACACAGGCACCCCAACCTAAAAATGGTTTATTTAATAGTAAATATATGTGATTTAATATTTAATAATGTCTATTTAACAACACACCAATAGGATTCAGAACACAGTAGTCCAAAATAGGGCACCAGAGCATATTGAATATTTCACAGTTGAAGGAGTTTGAGAAAATGGCAGACGCAGGAAGTTCTGTGACCTTCCCCTCCCCTTGCCTCAAGCAGATCCTAAGCTGTCTTTTAAGGAGTGCTCTCTGCAAACCAGAAGGAAAGTAGCATCCTTATCTCCAAGATGGAAGTTTTCCAGAAGAATCCAAACAAACATGCCTTGCCAAGTTTCCCAACATTGATCACACTTACCTTATACCTTTTGTCCTATTAGATTTGTACACTACCACCTGCTTGTCCTCAAACCTTATATAAAGACCCTAACGTACAACAATTTCTTCAGGTCTTTGTTTCTGTGTGAAGGAGCCCATGTCCCACAAAACTTAGAGTAAGTAAATATGTATGCATCTCTCATCTTTGTCGGTTTAATTTTCAGACTTAGCCAGGGACCCTAAGACAGTCAAGAAAAAACTTTTACCTGCCCTACACAGCTATACTGCATTGCTAAAAAGTTCCTTGTCCTCTTTCTCATCCAAGGACATCTCTCTATCCATACC